ACACACACACACACACACACACACACACACACACACACAGAAACACACACACGCTGCAGAGTGCTTACTCAACTCCAGCCACACACACACACACACACAGAATGAAACACACACACGCGCTGCAGAGGGGACGGACACACACACACACACGCACGCACACACGCGTACGCACACATGCTCCACTTCAAAATTACAGTTCGTCAGAGGAGACACATCTATCCTGCAGTATGTAAAGGTTGCGTTCAGGTACAATGGGATTTGTTAACGCCACCTTATTCCAACTCATTTCAGATAAAAAAAAAATATATATATATATATATCACACTGCATGTTCCCAAAACTGAGGAGTTTGTTTTAAAGCACGCACATCAAACAGTGTTAGATAATAATTTACAATATTTTGCTTCGGCCCACTTTCATTCCACTCCATACAAAAGCCACAATCTTGAGTTTGCCACATGCATCTGTTTAGTAATTCCATCTGGTTGACATTGGCATCTCGATATGAATCTTGTGCTCTCGCCACTCAATGAGAAAATATGCTACTACTGATGATTATTTTCAAATGCCTTGTTGCAAGCTGCTACAGCGAATCACTTGTGTTAGCAGGGCGTGCAATTGATTTTGGATTTGGCCCAATATTCCAGTCAATGTGTCAGCCTCGGGCACGCCAACAACTTGGGTTGGCTGCTTCCAAACTCTGGAGAAGGGCTCTCTGTGCCAAGGATGTTTTACTCACTCGCCGTTTGAAAAACATGCACTTTCTCAAACAGGCCGCTCGTTTGCCAAGCTACTGTTTCCCTCAGGGGATTGTGTCTCCCCATCTCTCAGGTTAACTGCACGAAAGACTTGAGGTGTGCCGACAAAAATCGAAGATCAACGGGCAGCTGGAGAAGACCCATGATCCCGCAACGAGCAGCCACAAGCTGTGCAAAGCACTTTTGGACGGGTGACTTACAGCAAGGGGCTGGCTGCTCGCCGGCGGCATAGAAGCCCAAAACGGCCCCTCACCCCCATAAGGGCTGCACTAAAAGTATAAAAAGGAAACATGGAACTGAGTGGCTAACGACTTAATGTTGGCTTTAGTTACACCATCCTGAAACAAGAGTTGAAACAGTGAGTTTACGATTAAACACAGCCAGTGCTGGGATTGTACTGCTAGTGTGCTGGGCCATTAAGACTGTCACTTACTCCAAATGATGAACATCCACCGTGGGCTCCAGGGGGTGGGACACTGGTCATGTTGGAACCCATGCCTGGTGCTCCGCTGGGGAACAAACCCAAAGCATTCAGATTCAAGCCTGGAATCAGGTTGGACTGGAGCTGGAGGGAAACGAGAACATTTTCATCAACACAATACACACGAATGATCCATCATATTTACAAAATTACATTTCAACCTCATGAGAAATAGAGGGACATATTCAAGTCAAACCAACAGTGTGGGTCGTTTTTAACTTTTGAACATACACATATAGAGTCTGTAGGAGCTTGAAGATGCAGTATTACATCTTTGTAGTTCCCTTTTCTACACTCTTATCCTAAAGGAACAGCATGTAACACCAGATAATGTTGGTGGTGAGGAGAGAGGTCAAATACTGCAAAGAGGGAGCTGGCTTATTACAAACACTGAGATCATCTCTAGAGACCAAACTTATTCACATACTGGGCTTTTTAAACAGCAAGAGGTGAGAACACTGCCCACAAGATTGATATGAAACACAAGTTTGACCCAAGAGGCAACTCTGGACAAAACTTTATATAATCTACCATTTTGAGAGTTCTCTGTGTGACACTTGTCACTTCATATTTTGGTATATGCGTCACGTTGGATATTAATATTAAACAGGCGACCAGTGCTCTGTATCAGCAGCGGCAGGGACTCATCAACTGAGGAGACGCCAATCACAACAGCACGTTCGCGACAATGGGGATGACAACTGTTTGTCCAGTTCAGGGTTCTGCTGACCGAGTCCAGCAGCAGGTCCTCACTTGCTTCAATTCAACTACTGCAGGTCACTTTTACAGTTTCAGAAAGGAAAGCTGCAACCGGCATCGCCACAGACCAAGAAAACAGCCCATTCCAAACAGACAGGTTTGGAACTGGCAATGCACTGGTCACTACAAATTTACAATGGTTTAATATTAAGCCCCAGATGTGCAAAGTAAATCAAAAAACTTAAAGATTATCCACCCAGATTCTTCACGCATCTTGTTCTAGTACATTTCCTGTATAAACAGTAAACAAGTGCTTAATTTATCATGTCCCTCTACTAAAAACAAATTGCACACAGCAAAACAGGCTTCATTTTCCAGGAACAGCTCTCACATTCCCAGAATTCAAAGCAGCCACTGCAGCCTCAATGTCCAAGGCTGAGATTAAGTGTACTCACTGACATTGAGTTTCAAGTAATATCACTGCCACATTTTAATCGCCAACATCTCATTTTCACACATAAATCAGTAAGAGACCTAGTTAACACAACACATAACAGATTATGGGAAACAATTGTTTTTGTTCATTGTGTGTATTTATATGACGGCTATTCAGGATGTGAAAGTGCTGTCGGAAGCAATATTTTCACATCACCACTGTACATGTAGATGCAGGAATCAGATTTCCTTCCTAAAGTTGTTTTTTGGTCATCTAGTTTCATGATATTATGCAAATCTGTCACTGATTTTACTTTTGAAACGATGAATGAAACTTTCCACTGGAAAAGACCTTTAGAATTTGAAGATGGCTTCACTCTTCCCATTTGAAGCATTTGTCTTTGTCCTCGTTATGTGCTAAGAGTCTTACATTCATAGCAGCCATGTCGCTCTCATAAGACTCCCCGACCTTCTTCATCACCTCCTCTTCAGCTCTTGAACATGCTTCTATGGTGCCCTTGACTGTGATGGTCCGCTCTGGGTTGTACAGGGTCAGGTCCTGGAGACTGGACAAAGAAACGTGAGGAGTGAGGGAGCATGACAGCAACTGTGTCAAGGGTATCAATTGTCAAACCGCAGGAAAGTATTTCAACATTAAAAATGCATGTGCCAGTTTTATGAATGGCAAGGACTACAATTCCTGGAAAGAGACATCAGTCATGCACTCTTACGGTGAGATTGTGATCTTGGTCTCTGTGTCCTGCTCGATTTTTTTCAGGTTGCGTCCTTCCTTCCCGATTAGTCTTCCTACAAAGTTGTTGTGTGCAAGGATCTTCAGTGGAATCTCCTCAGTGCTGCACAGGGCAGAGAGAAACTTAACATTCATCTTAAACCAGAAAATCAGCACCGTAGATTATAGTTCTTTCATATTCAATGTATAAACAGTCAACGTAAAGTGTCTTGGTTAGTAAAGTATATTTTTATGTGCATCATATTACATACATTACCCTAATTTTGACTGGATTGTAAGCGATATAATTACTGGGTATTTTCAGAAAGAGCTTAACAATCACAAGAGAAACCATTTTTGCTGTAAATCTGATTAAGTTCTAGGCTTTCTCGTAGAAAGGCTGTAGCAGTGGTATTTGACAAGTTTAATAAGCTGATAACATTGTAAGAACCAAGTTGAGCGAAGGCTCTGATGTTGTTTCTACAAAAACGTACAATTTTGTGTCGATGGCTTCCTTCTGCATGATTTCCATGATGGTTCTGCAGGCGTTCGAACATCCCTCAGGGGTGGAGTGGATCGTGATGGGCTTCTCTGCTGCGCCTGCGTTCTCTTTCCTGTGGATGTCAATCCTGGAAAAAAGGGAAGATCATTTAGAATTTCTATAATGCAGCACATAACTGGTACAATCAGAGGAGGCTATACACAGCTCACTTGCAATGCTCAGTATCATTCCTGACTTCTGTGTACTTACTTTGAGTGGGTCTGTTTGGTGATGTTGCGAATAGTGGCACCCTCCTTGCCGATGATGGCGCCTACAAACTGCGTTGGAACCAGCATGCGCAGTGGGATGTCTGACTGCACTTTGGGCCGCGCGCCCAGACCTGGAGAGCCTGCGCGAGGGGGTCCCCGTGAGTTAAAGCCTCTCCTGCCCCCCGGTGAAGGACCCTCCAGCGCTGCCGTTTCATCTGGGATATAGGACACTTTCAAGGCATAGTTCTCCATCATAGATCCATTCAGCTTCTCCATTGCCCTGGGGTGCAAAAAGGGACGTCAAAAAACCTATAAGCTGCTTTTCAAGTGTCCAGAAAATTCACAGTGAGCAAGTTGATGACATTTCTAATACTACAGACGCAAAAATAAAAATAGAACAAATATCTCAGGAGGAAAAAGGTTCACAATACACCTATTGATTTAGATGCTGATTTAGTAAGACAACGAGATCTGTGAGCTTTTGGTGATAAGGGCCGAAGGAATTTTTACATCATTGTCCTTGCTCCTGAGAGCTCTAACTGGACACCACCCATACACTGAATTTTCAGAACATTTTACTGTTGTGAACGTGGCTGACCCAGACAATCTGCTGCTGCATCCTTAATGTGAAAGACAAGTCTGGAAAACGTCCAAGCCCAGTAGAGAACGGCTTTAGTGAGTGGGTATGATTCAACACAAGACAACTTTAAGACTGCTATTATTAAGTAAAAAGCTACAAGTTAACTTGGTTAAAAACTTTCTGATCACTCTATATAAAAAGCTGGTTTTAAGTCACCATGTCAATTTTGGTCTCCATGGAATAGTCACATTAAAACCAAAGCTGAATTCCCAGGCCAAATTAAAATGGTTTCACGTCAAGTGGTTTCAAGTGATGGACATAAAAGACAAAAAGACACCTTTCCCTCCAACCTCAGGACACTGGCACACTCAACATCATGCCTGCCTTTCTGGCCTCTAGGATTATGATTTGTCGTGAAATCAACCAAGTATGAGCGGAGACTTCTTCAACCACTCATGCAGAGCGAAACAGTGTAGTATGATTCATGTACACCAGGGGGCACCAGATGGCTAATTTAACCCCCTCCCTCTCCAACATACACACACTCCCCAGCCTCCCCATCATCATTGCATGTCAAATTAAATTAGACTGGTTTTAGGAAGGAGGAAATCAGGTGCATGATGGGAACGTTAGACTGAGGGAGCTGATGGAGCTCCCATTAGAGAATGATGGGTAGAAAGAAGAACTTGGGCAGATCCATGTGGAAGACATCATGACAGATGAGATGGAGGTCAATGATGTGAATACGCTGCATGCATGCTTGTTTTTGTGTGTGTGTGTGCGTGTGTGTGTGCGTGCGTGTGTACACTCACAGCCTGGCCTGGTCCTTGGCTGTGTATCGAACATTGACGACTGCAGTCTCTGTGTCAGTGTTGACTGTTGGAGCACACACACACACAGCAGAGTCAGTTCACAAATACACTCAATGACGGCATGATTTAATTCTCCAGCGTGGGTTTCTTTTGCAAATAAAACAAATGTACTTATGAAATCTAATTTTTTTTTTTTTTTTAAAAACAATTTGAAACCAGTGTGTTTTAGCGTGAGGCGGTGAAAATACATTATGAGCAGCCTTGCAACTCAAAGCATTAACAAAAGTGTGTATTTACCTTGTTCACAGCTCTCGACTGCACCATACTGAGCAAGCATACCATCCAAAACCTGAGGGGGAAGAGAAAGAAAAGCCATGATTACTGGGAGACTTTGAAAGCTTTGACCAGAGCCTGTTAGCGAGCAGACGTTCATCTGTGGGAACCAGCCCAGCTCCCTGCCAGGACACACTCCATTAATTCTGAACCCCGGAGTTCAACGTTGAGTTACATGGATTAATTTGATGCCTTCTTATAAAAAGCCTGTCTCCCTCAAATTATGACTCGACTCCTCAGGGCACTTTCATGGAGCTCCAGGTGCCGTGTGAGTTTTATTGCACTTTAAAATGTCTATTTTAGAAAAGAAGTAAGCAACCGTCTGTATTTTAATTGGTGGACCTACAAGCAGTCAAATGCATCTCACAATACATGTGATTCCAAAAAGAAAAGTCACATCAAGCCATGTTGCCTTTGCTAGTTTGACTTCTTTTTTTTTCTTTTCTTTTTTTTCCTTTCTTTTTTTAAATCCATGAATGTTGAAATCCTACTTGTAAAAGGGAAACAATAAGAAATATTAAATGCATCCAGAATAAAGGCCCACTGAGCTGGCCACCTGCCCAAATCTGGAGCCCAAAGGATTTCAATTCATAGATGTGATCAACTGTGGGTGAGAGGGGGGGGGGTTTCTAAGCTAAAACCTCTGACCATGCTCAGTCAAGACCCAAGGCCACACCCCCAAGAGCTCAACCCCACTTTCTAGCCAACAAGACTTCGTCCCTGCCCCCCCACTCCACCAACCCACCAACCAAGCAGCCTCCCGCCTCCCTGCCATCGCCGCTCCCCATCATTGGCTGCTCAGGCACCAGTATGAGTTCCCTGAAGCCAAGAGTTTGCTGGCTGCGCCGCCCGTCCATCTGCTGGGCCCGACCAATGGGAATCCAGGCCATTCAGGAAAGGGTGGGGTACATTCCAGCAGGAAGCAGTGACTGGGGGAGGGGTACGAGTTCATGCTACACATTCTGTGAATCGGAGCACATGGAGGGGAAGGGGAAGCAACTCTGGCCCACCCACCCACTACAGCTCGAGAACACGCCACTACTCTCGCCACTATTTTCTCGCTCTGAGGCGACACACAGCAAGACCCATTGTCTTATCTACCTGATAAGATATATACAAGGCCTTTGCATCAAAAGATCCCTCTCTGTTCTGTTCCACCATTCTTCTAACCCTCCCCCGTTCTGAGGGGGAGAAACCTCCATGTCACCTTCTGAGGAAGCGAGCGGCTCGCTCGCCACATACGAGGAACATGGGTGGATCTGGAGCTGCAGTTGAGGGACATGCGTAGGCAAAGCGAGCCCACCATTACAAAACACTGAGCCTTTCTGTGGCCATTTGATCACAGTGAGGAAATCAGGCTGAATTCTAAAGCCATGTGTTAAACTAACATTTAGAAATACTCAACAACAGTGCAGTTCACGAAGAAAATTCTCATTAAAGCTTCCATTGTCTTTATGGGCCAGAAAATGGAAGTGAACACTACGAGCACACGCCATCGCTACTAAACCTCTGCAGACGGAGGAAGGGGAAAAAAATCATGTAAATATGTTACTGATATGAGATTACACAGGCAGGTTATGCAGGGATTTCAAGTCCAACATGTATATTTAAAAAAAAAAATTTTAACCTTCAAGTTTTCCTAAAATTTCAATCCAGATAAACATACATATCCAGAGCACAATAGTGTGAAGACCCAGGAGTTTTAATTTAACGCTTATCACATGCAGAGACACACACACACAACTGTTGCTCAACACTGATGTTCATTTTTTCACTAATCAGGCAGTGGCCTTGAAATCTGACCATGTTACAGCACATGTTCCTCTTGATATTATTCATTCTAACATGACATGCTTTTTGCCCATTAACCCTTTAAGGAATACAAAACCAAGAGGACTGCGTTTGAGATTTCACACCGACTTTCAGCGTCAATTTTCTGTTTATGGCCACAGCAGAAACCTGCTATGAGAACGTCCAGTGAAACTGCTGCTTGTGCAACCGAGGACAGTTTTACATAATCAATTCAAATGTTTTTTCTGAAGATTTTGTCAGAGAAAAAAATTTGCAGGCAAATCTTTTTGTCTTATATACTGTCCCACGATTAATCCAAGATCAAGTCAAATAATTCATAGGGTTTAAATGTTTTGCATTTTTGGAACAGATGTGTGTAGACGTTTCATTTTGGACAGAACTAACAATCCATTCTTATTTATGTGGGACCATATAAATTGTATATGTGGTAGTGAACACAGCATAATAGACATAAATACAACAGCACAATTACCTGTGTTTATCTTATTTGTATAGCACTATATCACAAGATTGATTATCTCAAGGCACTTAACCTATTCAGGTCAGGACCATAGTTTATTATAGAGAAAGTTAACAGTTACAGTATTAGTAGAATGAATGTAACTATGGCAACTTTTAATGGGGAATTTGTGGTGACATCAATGGCCGTTTAATTACAAATTAAATGGTAGAAATATCTTGATTCATTCTTCCTGCTATTTCCTTAACATTCATTACAGTTGAATCAACAGTCTCAAAACCCAGACATAGGTTTTAAAAGTGGAGTTTTTGTTGCAGGAGCAATCTAATGGATTGTGCTAAAGTGCTGATTTTGTCATGGAAACAGATTCATGTGCATCTGAAATACATTCAAATTATTTAATTTCAGGAGTTACTGTCCGCATGAGACAGCAAGAAAACTATTACCGGCAAAGTTCTAAATAAATATACTTTCTCAAACAAAATAAATCTCTTTCATAAACCATACAAAAGGACAGACTTGGGCTGGCCAGGTCAAACCCTTCCTCACATGGATGTTTCACAACACCTCCGTTTTTTTATAACCTTTATTTCCACAAGATCTTTTCTACTGTGACATGGCTGTCAAACTCAAATACGCCATAAAAAAGACAATTCAGTCTGAAGATTCAAACGAATCACATCAACAAAGCACTTGAAGATACATAACCATCACATGTAGGACTAAGCCTACAAACATCAGGTGATTTTGCGTGAAATGTCTTCACTTGCAAGTCGGCTAAATCATCAAGAGAGCCCCTTATCATTTTTCCGAGTCTTTATTCAGTATAACCTTGCCAAAGCTCCTGTCCATCCCATACTACTGTGTAAATAAACTGTAAAACTCAATCTTGCAATTGTCAGTGTAAAATTCCATGTCAATAACAAATTGTTTTTACCAGTTCTACTCTCTGGTCTGAGCCACTACCTTCTTGCAACAGATAACCAACCTAATGTTCAACTGAAAACCCAAAGGGAGAGAAGGTGACTCCATGAAGCCACTAAATGAGCCTGGTTGCCCCACGGTGCCCCGCCCTGGAAGCAGTTAGCAGCCTGTAAGCACTCACCTCCCACTGCATGTGAGGCGGGATGTTCCTGATCTGCAGTTTACAGCTCCTGGAGAGAGAATAAGAGAGGAAGAGGGTGGGGGATGGATGGATGGAGGAGGAAGAGAGAAGAAATTGATGAAGGGAGATGCAAACAGAGGTGGGAGAGAAGGAGAGAGACAGTTAGCAGCAGAAAACACAGGGTACATATGGTACAATGATGCACAAGACAAAACGGCAGGTCCTTGTTCCTTATGACATGTAAAGGGACAGTAGGGTGAAGAAGCTGCAGATATGACTCCTGCTTTAATCCCATTCCCAACCCAGCAGGCTGCAGGTGCACTGGCAACCTGTGTAAAAAAAATATAATAAAATAAGGAAGTGACCGAGGAGAAGTGGGGAGAGGGGCGATGTAGAATGACCCCTGGGTGGGCCTAAATTGGGTTGAGGGTGATCAACATTAAAATTATTAACCAGAAACCATACCACGCCCTTTGCCCCAATTCTGAATTGTGTCACACAGATTGCGAAAAGCGAGATGGCAAGAAGCAGGGCGGTGAAGCGGGAGAAGAGGCGTCAAGAAGGGAGCAAAGGGAAGGAGAAAAAAAATAATAAAAGCAAAGATAGGCCTTCCAAATATCTTGTCTACACACTTCCGAGTCAAGCATGTGCCCCGTAGCATTGCATCATGAGGTTTAACCCACTGCAATGCTCGAGTCCACTGTTTTCAACCAAAATAGACACTTATCCAGGAGCATCTAGTTGTTATCAAAACGAGAGGAGAGAGGGGTCAATGATTGGCTGGTGCCAAACAGAGAGCAAAGGGAATCTCTATCACCAGTTACATCACACTTTGTAAAAAGACTTAAAAATGTGCGTGTTTATACAACAAAAGCAAATGGAGCTACAATGGTGCTGCTGTGTTCTCAGTCACAAGAAACAACCAGGACAGAAATACATCCTTTGACGAGGAGGATTCTGAATTTTCTTTAATTTCATGCAGCAGCACGAGTGTAAAGGCCGTGTGTGGAGGTCATGCAGACATTTGAACTTGTGAATCAACGAGTCAGAGTTTTACAACATTCCGTCAGCATGAGGATGTAGAAAAACCAGAGATAAAAAAAAATAAAAAGTGGAGAACACACAAATCTAGAAGACCAAAATGTACACATGGCTGGGGCGACACACACACACACACACACACACACACACACACACA